AGCAGGCTGGCCACAAGGGCAGCATCGTGACGCTGAATTGCTCGTCTGAGAAGCAGCTGCTCGAGTACATGGTGCACTGCAGTCACACAGTGGTCGCGGTGCAGGAACATCACGTTGCTCATGATGACCTGGCAGACGCACAGCATCGGTTGCTGGACGCGGGCTGGCAAGGCATATGGGCGGCGGCCAACCGCACAGTCAACGGTGGCACGCAGGCAGGGCTAGCAGTTTTGGCCAGGCCGAACGTCATGATTACGCGCGGGCCGTGCATGAACGGACAGACCGTACTGGCTGGCGGTCGAGCTTTGCCCGCTCAACAAGTTCATTGGGGAGTCCCTGGGGGAGTGGTACTGGTCTCAGTGTATCTTTACGTCAATGAAGGTTGGTCTGGCACTAATCTACACATCATGCAGGAGGTCAGTAGCTATTTGGAAAGATTGAATCATGCAGGCTACGATTGGATTGTGGCAGGAGATTTCAACATCGAAGCATCCCAGTTCGGCGATATGCGTTGGCTACACGGGCTGGGAGGTATGCTTCGGGCTCCAGCGGCGACCACATGCAGACAGGCTATGCCTGGCAGTTGCATCGATTTTTTCCTCGCGTCGTCTAACTTGATGACACGAGTAGAGCAGCCGTGTGTTCAGGAGGCGGCAACCATTTTTCCGCACTTGCCAGTGTATATGCATATCAGTGGCAAGGACATCCAGTTGTTTCATCGAGAGCTGCGTGGGCCGCGTTGCCGTGCCCAAGCAACCGAAGCCAGGGTGCGCGAGGTTTCCTTTGTGTTGGCACGGAGTTGCACGTATTATAGATGCCGCGTGTGACGACAGCAGTTTGCAGGTGGCATGGGATGCTGTGCTGAGCCACATTGAATTAGAGCTGCTTGCCAGACATGACGTCGTTGGCACCACGGCTGGGCCGTTCGTTGGAGCATGTGGCCCAGTAGAGTTTGAGATTGTCAAGCTGCAGTGGCAACCACAACAGAAGCGTTCATACTTGTCAAAAGCAGCCAATGCGTGGTGCGTAGCAGCCAGATGGGCGCGACACATGCGTAGGGCGAAAGAAGCTATCATTAATGTCACGGCGAAGGTAAGTCTGCAGCAAGAGGCAGGGGCGGCAGACACGGCCCACCTGCACAAGCTGTCGAGTTTGACGATTGAGCTAGGCCGCTTTTTGGCGACGGTGCTAACTGAGACGGCCGTGCTCAGCGAGCTCGACAGCTGGGCGTCTGACTTGTTTCTGATGGGAATGGAGCTCCTTGTTCACACAGAAGTAGATGCAGTGCTGGATGCAATCGAGGCCAAAGCAACGGAGCTTGCGGAGGCACACAGTCAGAAGACCGCCAAAGCCTGGAGGGACTGGGCGGCAGCAAGTTTTTCGAATGGCGCGCGTTTCGCGCATAGGCACACGAAAGGGAGAGCGTTGCAGGAAGTGGTTAATGCTAATGTGACTGCTCGCACGCCCTCCCAGCCGTATCAGCTAGCCGATAAGGCCATGAGGGAATGGGAAGAAATTTGGTCGATGCACGATGCCGCAGTTCCTCAGACCTTGCAGGACTTGCAACGCGCCGTTCTTCAGTTCCCATGGGCGACGGGAGTCGGCCAGTTCAGTTTTGCTCCTCGCAGTTTAATCTTTCTGAGCAGCCCAGGCCTGGAGGCCTTAGCGAAGCTGTTCATGAAGTGTGAAAGCCTCTTGATCTGGCCTTCGGACAGACTGCTGACGCAGCTCGTTCGCCTCCCCAAGGCGTCGGGAGGATGTAGGCTGATAGCGCTCTTGAACACGCTCCTGAGAGTCTGGTGCAGGGCCCGCAGGCCCATCGCGGCCGCCTGGGAGGTTGAGCACGACCTGGATTGTTTCTGGGGGACGGGAGCTGGTAGGTCGAGCTCGGACAGCGCGTTTTCCCTGAATCTGGAGGCTGAGATTGCGCACGAGTTAGGAGAGGACAGCCTCACAGTTTTTATAGATATGTTGAAATGCGATGAGACTGTCATTTTGCAGAGCCTGCTTCGCGAGGCCAAGCTGAATCGTTTCCCGATGAGATTAGCGTGTATGACGATTCAAACGTATTTGCAACCTCGTTGCCTGCGTGCTTTTGCCTCCCTGTCAGTACCAGTGCAGTCTAATCAGAGTATCCTAGCAGGCTGCTCCTTGGCCACTACCATGCTGCGTGTCCTGCTGCATAGAAGCTTGCAGGATTGCATGACTATATACCCCACGGTCAAGCCGCGTGCGCTGATCGACGATGTTAGCTTCCACTGGTCAGGAGAGCGCGATAGGGAGGGAGATAGCGTCGGCCAGGCAAGAGACTTGGCCAATGCAGTACACAGTTTTTGCCTCAGTGTGAGACCGCTCGGGTTAGTCGTCCAGCCGAGCAAGTCAGGTTTTGTTGCGAACACGAGCCGAGGCCGAGATACTTTCGCTCGATTGGTTGTGCCTCTTCATATGCGAGCGAAGCGAGCGATGCGTAATCTAGGTCACGAGATGCACGGCACTAGAGTCTTGCGGGTGCAAGAAAAGTTGCGTCTTAAGAATATCAAGGCTCGTAGGCGTAAGGTGTGGGGCCTGAAGCACGCCGCTGGGGAGGCCGTGAAATCCTTGTGGAGGACGGGGCTACTCCCAGCTGGCGGCCACGGCGCCGGAGTGTCAGGGATATCTGACACAGCGATTCGCGAGCTTCGGACGTATGCTGGAGGCATGTGCGGGGCCAAGCCCAAGGCGTCGCTCACTCTGTTTTTAGCTACACAGCGAGACGACAGGTTCGACCCTATTTTTGATGCGACGGTTCCGTTGGTTGTCAGGTTTGCCTCGTTCATCTGGGACAATAGGGTCGCGCCTGGACGGCTCCGCAGAGCCTGGGAAGCGGTCAAGGCGAAGCTTGACCAACGCATCTCGTGGTCCAGAGCCCGTGGCCCCATCGCCTCTGTTTGGGTCACGCTCCTGCGCGTGGGTTGGACGATGTTTTCTCCAACAGTGCTTGTGGACGATCGAGGTCGCCACGTAGATTTAGTCAGGCAGTGCCCAGGTGATGTGAAAGCTTTCCTGGAGGAAAGCATTCGCCGCTGGCAGGTAGATAGGATCCTACAGCACCTGCCCAACAGCCTTGGAGAGAGCTGCTGGAGGAGGGGAATGAGGAAAGCAGTGTTTGCTGTAAGGGACGTTGCGAGGCGAGGCGCCTTGCGGACGCTCTGGTCGTCAGGGGTTTGGACCCCCGAGAGGCTGCACAGCATTGGGCTCCGCAATTCCCCGCAGTGTTTTGTATGCAAGCTGGCAACAGGCAGTGAGTCCCACCAATGGTTTGAGTGCGACGCCATGCTAGACGGGTTGGACGTGCCTGTTCCAGATTACGTCCTCGAGCTGAGGAAGGATATAAAGGCCAGGAATAATTCGCAATCTGGAGCGGATCAATTTTATCTCAGCTTCGGATTGCCGCCCGAGCCACAAGCACTTGCTCCCCCGAGCGATGAGTACCCTGTGTTGGGATGGGGGGACTGGCGCGGGCGATGGGGGCGGAGGGTGTACACCGACGGAAGCGGCCAAGCGTCGTCGATCCCAGAGCTGGCCCGATGTGGCTGGTCCGTGGTCGAGGTGGACGAGGCTGGCAGCGTGTTGCGTGCAATTTTTGGCGCGCTACCAGGAGCTGTGCAGACAGTGCCACGAGCGGAGCACTACGCAGCGCTCAAAGCAGTAGAAGTTGCGCAACAGCCTGCTATCATAGTGTCCGATCACCTGAATCTGGTGCGTGAAGGGTGCGCCTGGTCGGCGGCCGCTGCCTCTTCTAGTGGCCGCCACGCGGCTGTGTGGGAGAAAATACGTCGGCACTGTCCCGAGGCTCCTCCTACTTTCGAGTGGGTCCCTGCGCACAGAGAGCTCTCGGAGGTTCTGGAGGCCCCCGAGTGTGACTTTGTCCGTTTCGTTGCTAACGAGTGGGCTGACTTTTTTGCCAAGCGCGGGGCCCAGGTGCATTCAACGGGCCAGACCATGCAGGATTATTTTAAGCAGGCCATGAAGGCGGCCAAAGATCACTCGCAAGTTTTTGCCTGGATGGCCCAAGCGGTCGCCAAAAAGAATGCTGAGCTCCAACCTAGGGAAGTCGTGCCGTCTCAGGTTTGCCGAGACGTCGCCGCCCCACAGGTTGTGATTGACTCGCATGAGTTTCGTTTCTGTGAGAGGCTGTCTGAACACAGGTGCCTGAAGTGCAACAGGTTTGCTAGGACGACCGAATCCTTGAAGGCCCTTCGAGCGAAGCGATGCGAGCCCACGGACCTTGCGAGAGCGATGGCAACGCGTTATTTTGCCTTCACCCCCGAAGTTTATCGGCACGCCTCGCGCGCGGTGGACGTCGCCGTGCGTGCTGCTGGCCTTGATGAAGGCCTAGGGCCCTCTGGAGGCCCATGCGAGGGTGGTGGAGTGGGGGCTGACGTCGTCGCCGTCGGGGTCGATCGGGAGGTGGAATTGTACTCGGAGCTCGGCCACGGGATGGAGCGATTTGGCTCCACGGTCATCTGCCTCGGTTGCGGGGCGTTTAGTGTGGCTGGAGGCCGCAATCGGAAGCTGCGTGCCCAGTGCAGAGGTCACTCGGACGTAGTCTCTACGCGTGCGAACGAGGAGATGCAGATCTCACGTGCGATGCGCGGGCTGCACCCCAGGTCGGGGGACCCTTGCCCATGACGACCTCGACGCCAGGTCCCCTCTGTCGGCTTTCCGACGTGGTGGGGACGGTGCTGTCGAGGTCAAGCCGCACGGTGCGATGGTTCGACGCCTCGCCGTGCGGCTCATCAATTTCTTCCCGCTGAAGCGGGTCCGTACGCTCGGACTCGCCCTTCATCGCTCGCTACCTCCTCCTCCTCCCCCTCCCCCTCCTCCTCCTCCTCCTCCGCCTCCTCCTCCTCCTCCTCCTCCTCCTCCTCCTCCTCCTCCTCCTCCTCCTCCTCCCCCTCCTCCTCCTCCTCCTCCTCCTCCTCCTCCTCCCCCTCCTCCTCCTCATCCTTCTCCCGGAGGACGACCCCAAGATGAAGCCCGTCGAGTTCCTGCGCGACTTCTGGGGCAGCGTCCAGGACCGCCGTCTGGCCCCCCGGTTGCGGCGCAGCCTCCGGCGGGGCCGCGCTCTCCGCCAGGCCCGGCCGCGCTGCCCCCGGGCATCCGGCCCGCTGCCATCCTCCGAGGACCAGGGCAATTCGATCCCATCCAATTCGATGCCGAGCTCGCCCAGCTCGATCCGATGCGATCTCGATCTCCTGGTGGTCCAATGCGGCCCAGTGCCTGCACAGCGCAGCTGTGTGTCTGGGTGCAGCCGATCCGATCCCGCGCATGTGCAGCCCGATCCGACGCACACTCCGATTCGCTCCGATCACGCGATTCGACGCTGATTGATCCTGTCCTCTGTGCGGCTGGTGCTTTGCCTCCTCATCGAGGCACACGATTCGAGGATCAAGGTCTTCGGATGTCTTCGGCTCATTTCGGGCCTCTGAGTGTCTCCAGGGATCCTCTGGGCACTTCGAGGGCTTTGGGTCCCGAGACCCTCGAGGCCTCCTTCTCCTCCTCCTCCTCCTCCTCCTCCTCCTCCTCCTCCTCCTCTTCCCTTTCCTCCTCCTGCCTCTTGCTCCTCCTCCCCTGGCCCAGGGCAACGTCATGCCGCAGGAGGAGGAGGAGGAGGAGGAGGAGGAGGAGGAGGAGGAGGAGGAGGAGGAGGAGGAGGAGGAGATGAAGGCGGAGGAGGAGGCGGAGGAGGAGGAGGAGGAGGAGGCGGAGGAGGATGAGGAGGAGGCGGAGGAGGAGGAGGCGGAGGAGGAGGAGGAGGGGGAGGAGGAGGAGGAGGAGGCGGAGGAGGGGGAGGAGGAGGAGGAGGGGGAGGAGGAGGAGGGAGGGGAGGGGGAGGAGGAGGAGGGTCTGCGGGTCTACACGGCCTCGTCCTCCCAACCGACGCCTCCCGGGCCGAGCTCCGCGGAGGGACCGCTGTCGCCTCCTCCCCTCTGGCCGCCGCCGGCGCCTCGAGGCCACGGCCCCGTGGGGCTGTGCCGCCGATGCTCGCCTGCCCAGGGGAGAGATCGCAGGGAAGCTAAGCCGGGCCTGTCCCTCTGCAGGGGGAAATAGTCAGCAAAAGAATCAAGAAATAGTCGGGGGGCGACTTTTTGGATGAATATTTTGGGACTCTCTTTAATTTTGGTCCTTAACTGGGGCTGTGCCGCCGTTGCGCTCCTGCCCAAGGGAGAGATCGCAAGGAGTCTAAGCCGGGCCTGTCTCTTTGCAGGGGGAATACTCAGAAATAGGGGAGCAAAAGGTGACATCAACGTAAAAACTCGGAGGTCCGCGCGGATTTCTCGGATCGGCGCTGGGGCCCACCGGCGGCGCCTCCGGCGCCGCCCCTGGCGCGCTCCGCGCCAGGGAGGGGGGTCCAGCGCCGATCCAAGAAATCCGCGCGGACCTCCGAATCTTTATGTTTATGTCACTTTTTGTTCCCCTTCGAAAGAGTCAAGAAATAGTCGGGGGGCGCTTTTTTGGGATGCATATTTTGGGACTCTCTTTCATTTTGCGTCCAAGATCCGTCTGTAGGGGGACGTGCCCGACCTAGAAGGAGATGTTTTCGACACGGGGCCCCCGGAAGTCCCGACCCTCTCCGCAGCAGCAGGGCGACCCGGGCAGCCCTGGAACGCCCTCGGCGAGGCGCAGTCGCTGCGAGGCACCGCGAGGCCAGAGGGCCGCCGAGGCCGATGACGACGCCCGCAAACCTCAAACCTCGAACCTCGAACCTCGAACCTCGAACCTCGAACCTCGAATCCTTGAGCCCCCCCCCCTTACGGTGCCCTTCGGGGTGATCGAGCAGGGGGATCGACCACAGCACCGATTCACCCCAGGATTGGTTTCCTCGTCGAGCCTATGTGAAGCATGTGCCGCACTGTCGTGTGGCCGCGTAGCTTCTGCGCAGTTCCAGGTCTTCGACGGAGAAAACAGTTTGGGGGTAACAAAAATCGGTGAAGTGGGCGATTTCCCTGCTCGAGGGCAGCGGTGCCGGAGCCAGGCCCCCGGCGTCCCGAGCGGGCGCGCCGTGCCTCGCCCTCGCCGCAGGCGGCCCCCGCCGCCCCCCCGGCGGCCTCCTATGGCGCCGCAGGGGGGGGGAGCGGCACCCCCGTGCTGCTCCCCTGCCCCCCCTCGCCGCGAGTTTCGGGCCGGACGAAAGGGGGGGATTGGGAAAGGGGGGGGATACGAAATTTGCTGCATGCAGCTGGTTTCGGCCTCACCGAGGGGCCCATTCCTCGATACATAGCCGCCTCCGGCGCCGGGAGGCGCCGGGAAAATCAGCTACGTGAGCTGATTCTCAAACCCCCCCTTTGCTATCCCCCCCTTTCGCCCGACCCGAGAGTTCCAGTTCTCACGGAGCGCGGTCCAGTACTCGCAAAGTGCCGACTCGCAGGCGTCAGGCAAACTGACGCGTGCCCCGATGTAATGCATCGTGGCCCCCCCCCGAGGCGAATCCAGGCCATTTGCGACTAGTTACTTTGCTGCGAGTAGTGGAATGCGCTTGTCCAAGTTCCTCGTTCGCGCATGCCGTGCTCCCTCTCCCCCTCGCAGGTTTCTTTTTCTGGGAGCAAGGGAAGGCGACACCAACACCACCAGGGCGAGGAGATGCGAGGAGCAATGGGGGTCTCTCTGGTGGTGTGGTCCCCCCTCTCGCTCGAGACATCCCCAGCCTCCAGCTAGGGGAGGTATCGTGGACCTCCTCGCCTGAGGTGGCCCCCCTGATGGTGTTGGTGTCGCTTCTCCCACCTCCGACTTTCGCGCACAGGTCAGTACGCAGGATCCTGCAGGATCCTGCAGGATCCTGCAGGATCTTGCAGGATCCTGCGAAGCCCGACTGACCCGGGTTTGCACTCACCTGGATCGGGCTCTGGTTCGGCGTCGAAATCCGAACCCTACCCTCGGCGGTCAACAATTCGGGCATCTCTATGGGCGGCGGGTGTAGGGTTCAGAATTCGTCGAGCACGCGGCGAGATCTGAATCCTACCCCCGCCTCCCATCGATTCAGGCAAGGACCGACCACAACGCTGTTTAGCTTGGTTTGGGCCCTTGTTTTGTTTTGTTTTTCGTTTCGTGGTTCGTTGTTGTTTCGTTTCGTTTTTCGTTGTTGCTTTACACGCCCCGTTTCGTCGTTGGTTGTCGTTTGGCACCGGCTTCGTTTTAACCGTTCGTTTTCAACGTTGGGCCTCGTTTCGTTTTTCGTTGTAAACCCCATTTCGTTTGAAACATCGTCGTGGTCAGTCACTGGATTCAGGAGAACCGATGGTTGGTGGGGTCGGGTTCGGATGTCGCCACCTAGTGGCTCCGTGAAAGATGCAACACATGCGGTAGGCGCGTGCCTCGTCGACTTGGCGGCGATGCCAGCTTGCGCGCTCAGGGTGGACCGCCGCCAGAGGCCCAGAGCCGGCCAGTACTCACAGATACGCGCGATCGCAGCATTCGTCACGACACAGTCGTGCCGTATTCCGTCCTCCTGGCTTCTTTCCTTCTCACTGCTTCTCTTTGACCCTCCCTCCTCGCTCTCCTCCCTCTGCACCTCCCTGTCCTTCCTCATCCCCCTCCCATGCTGCCCGCCCTCCTGCTCCGCCTTCTCTCCCTCCTGCCTGCCCGTGCCTCCCCTCTGCGACCGATGGCGAGCCCTACCCCCCCTGCGGGTCGAACCCGGCGCTGGTCACCAGCCTCGAGCTTACCCCTATCCCCAAGATTGACACGCCAAAAGGCGATGACAATCTTAGGGACGCGCCCTGAAAAACTCAGGGAATCCCTAAGATTGGCACTGTGTTGAGGCGATGCGCAGCTTAGGGATAGGGATATGTTCCAAGCTGGTAGACTGGGGCATCGGACACCCCCGCTTGGGGTTCACTTGGCCGCAGGCACGTCCTCTGCATCCTGCACCCCGGCCGCCGCTTCGGGCACCTGCCCTGCGGGGGGTGGCGCTCGCACGGGACACGCGGATGCCCGTGTGCTCACGCCCTCCCGCCCCGCCGCGCCGCCCTCCCCTCCCCCCTGCCCCCCCCGCTCGCCCCTCCGCCGAGAGGAGGCGGCTAGCGGGCGGCGCGGGTCCTCCGAGGGCCAGGCGGGGCGCGAGGGAGGGGGGGGGGGGCGGCGGGCGTCGGCGGGCCCGCTCGGTGGCTCGCCGACGGGCGGCGGGGCCGAGGGCGAGGGCGAGGGGCGAGGGCGACGAAGGCGACGGTCGAGATGCCGAGAGGACACGAGCGGCGGGGGCGGAGGAGGAGGAGGAGGAGGAGGAGGAGGAGGAGGAGGAGGAGGAGGAGGAGGAGGAGGAGGAGGAGGAGGAGAGAGGAGGTGGGAGGAGGAGGAGGAGGAGGAGGAGGAGGAGGAGGAGGAGGAGGAGGAGGAGGAGGAGGAGGAGAGTGGGAGGAGGAGGAGGAGGAGGGAGGAGGAGGAGGAGGAGGAGGAGGAGGGCCAGTGTAAACCCAAGAGTCATCAACGACGTTGGAATTAACCCTCCCTCCAAGCTCCCTCTTCATAGGCTCCTTACAACGGTTCATTTTCACTGAGGGAACTACCTCGTTGGAAGACAACCGTTTGAAGACCCTGAAGCATGCCAAAACATTGTTCTCGGTATTCCAGCGCCACGGATCAACCTGACTGTCGCGTCTTGCAGATCCTGAACCGTGCCAGAACGCCAATCCTGCGATTTCAACCGCGAATCAACGCAACTGGTTCGCCCTCATAACCCTGAAGCCTTCCAAAGCACCATGTCTGGTACGCTGATCATGGGAATGCGTAAAACTTCTGCAAAGTTTCGAATCGAATGTACGCGGGTCTAGGGCGAGAGCCACATTTTGAAAAGCCGCCCTCGACCCGTGGAACTCTTGTAATTTGTTAATTCGAATGTGCGCAGAGCTAAGGCTAGAGCCACATCTTGAGAACGGTCGCCCTGAATCAGTGAAGCTCTTGCAAGTTTTCAAAAGGAATGTGCGCGGCGCTAAGGCGATAGCCACATTTTGAAAGCGACCCGCCCTCCATCTGTAAAATTGTCGCCAATGTTTAAGCTTCAGGGCCGTAAATGGTGAGGAAGTCTCAGGCGAAACGCCCGGCCCGCCCTGAACATTGGCCTCGGGGTGCGACACGGAGAAGCTATTTATAAGGACGAGGAATGGAGGGAGGGAGGGAGGGAGGGAGGGAGGGAGGGAGGGATGGGGGAGGAGGATGAGTAGGAGGAGGACCCCCGCGCGAGACAGGACGAGCCTCCTTGGGCGGGGCCTGCGCTTTTTTGTTTTGTTTCTTGCACTTGGCCCTGTCCCCTCCCCCCCTCGTCGCCGCGGGCCCACGCGGCCAGGGCCGCCTTCGATCCGGTTCGGTGCAATTCGATTCGCCCGCTAGGGCCAGAGGGCCGCGATTCCGATTCGGTTCGTTTCGGTTCGACTCACCAGCCAGAGCCAGCCGGAGCAAGGCGCGGCGATCCGATTTCGACTCGGATTCGGGACGTTCCGTTGGCGATCCGATCTGCTTCCGATTCGATCCGGCAGATTTCTCGACTGGATCCAGCTCATGCCCGGCAGCTCGGAAAAGGGACAAGGATGCACCGCGCAATTCGGCTGGTTGCCATTCTCGTCCTCCTCGTCGACCGCAGGTCAGCTGCACTGGAACGCTGGCGCAGCTGCCTGCCTGCTGCCAGGACAGGGGTCCATGCGCGCGAGGATCCTGCGGCGGCACGGATTGATCAGGAGGGAAACAACACACAGACACAATTAATCGTCGATTCCCAGGAAGATATGCGAAAATATGGGAAGTGTGGGGGGGGGAAGACGAAAACCCAGAAAATATATGAAAGCATGGGGAATCCTGTTAGTTGTGTCTATTTATTTGTGTGTCCCAGGGCCCCTTCAGTGATGCTGTCGAGGGCGGCGCTCGAGCGCATCACCCAGTTCGCGGCGGCCGACGTCGACTTGTTGGCCCTGTGCTGCTCCCCAACGGCTACGGTTAAGTCGGGCTTCTCCCTCTACAGGAGGGAAATTCAAAAATAGTCAAAAATAGCCGGGGGACGATTTTTTGAGCATTTTTTGATCATTTCGGGGTATGTTTTGACTATTTTTTATTTTTCGTCCAAAATCCCCTTGTACGAGGACAGGCCCGACTTGAGGCTACGGAGTCCCACGTCGGCTGGGCCGCGTCACGGGCGTGGTAGTGCGAGCGTCGCAGCCGCAATTCTGCTACCTTTGCCTTGTGATTCGGCCCGGGCTTGCGTCCAGGGGCTTCACTCAGCGAGCGAAGAACGGTATAAAATAAACTTTTTCGCTGTCGGGGGCGCCTGTCCCTGGGCGGCTGGAAAGTTTATACCCCTACGGTGGCACCGTAGGGGTATAAACTTTCCAGCCGCCCAGGGACAGGCGCCCCCGACAGCGAAAAAGTTTATTTTTTACCCTTCTTCGCTCGCTAATTCACAACAGTCGCAACTGCTGTGGGCAGAGGCCGGCCCAGGAGAGCACGGGAGGAGAGCCGCTCACCTCCCGCTTGTCGCTGCGCCGCCGCTGCCGCCGCCGCGCTGCCTGCCGCCGCCATGGTCTCCCTGCGTGCCGCTCTCCCTCGCTGTCGCCGAGCTGCAGGTGTCTCTGCTTCTCCACCCCTCACCCCGTGCGCTCGCACGCCGTGAGTCAACACCCACCAAACCACCCCAACCCAACCCGAACCCCTCGATTTGCCCTCCATTTCCGGTGGGGGGGGGGGGTCGGAGAACTTTGAAAAAACACATGGAATCCGTACCGCCCCCAACCCGAGATTCGGGTCAAATTCGGGTCTTCGGGTTGGGTTGGGGCGGTCTGGTAGTGGGCTCAGGGGGGGGTTGCATCGACCCCCGAGGGCCCACGGATCGCCGATAGAGAGAACCGATCGCTCACCACGCCCGGCGGGAACGTGTGGACTTGCAACCTGAGGCCCTTCAGCGATCTATCGGCGATGCATCGTCGATTCCAGGTCGGCGTTTCCCCCGAGCCTGGCCTCTCCCGGTACTGCCGCTCAACCCATGCGCGGTCGCACGCAATGTGGGGTGCTTACGGGAGGTGTGTCCGCCGCCGAGAGAGAGAGAGAGAGAGAGAGCGAGAGTATCTGCAGGAATTGCTTGACAGACATTCCGTAGCGTCTGCCGTTGAAAAACGGTCACTGAACAGACAAATCTACCGATGCCGCTGGCGCCAGCGGCGTGGCGCCAAGAAATCCATAGAGGAGGCGGCCCGTTCAGGCCGTTTGCCGCAGGATTCCCGGAGAAACGCGACAGTGAACTGGAGCACATTGTTCGGCACTTCGGACCCGGCCTCGGCCTTGCACGACCATTACAGCACCATCCAGTACATGAGCGACGCGGACAAGACAGCACAGCATCTTGAAAAACAGAGGTGGGTGAATACTTGGAAGGATCTGCGGATAGACATGGTGCCCTGGCGGGTCTCCGAGGCACGGCTACGCAAAGCTATTGGGAAGCTGAAGCCGGGCAAATCCAGCCCAGACGGATGCACGGCAGAGATGTACAAGCACCTGCCCCCACAGGCAGTCGCGTCTTTAGCCGTATTTTTCTCGAGCGTCTTCGCATCATTATGTTTTCCTGTGGTGTGGATGCACATGATGGCCGTGCTGATTCCCAACATCTGCAATGCGGCATCATTGAATAATTTTTGCGGAATTTCATGCTTGTCCACTGCGCGGAAGTTGGCCGGATATTTGTGGATGCAAATGTTACCACCTTTGAAGTTCGAATTTCTCCAGACGGGCTTTGTGCCTGGGAGCCATGCCGCGCAAGGTGTGTATGCTCTTCAGCGCGCAGCCGAGTTGAGCCGGGAATGGGGGAAGAGCGTGTACGCAGTGCAGTTGGACCTGAAGAAGGCCTTCGATAAAGTATTACATTCCGCTGTTCTTCGAACTCTGAAGTTACAGGGCGCCTCGCTTCAGTGCCTGGCAGTCTTGAGCACGATGCTGTTGAATACTGAGATCTCCTACACCCTGGGCCACGTGATTAGGCACGCCGTGCACCTGGACAGGGGCCTCCCGCAAGGCGCTCCGGAGTCGCCTCTGCTGTTCGTACTTGTGACAGAGATGGTCCTCAGACCGTTACTGAGGAAGTGGAGAGAACGAGAAGGGCTGGGTCGTCGATGATTTCTGACTCGCGGCGGTGGCCTTTGCGGATGACATTCTGCTCGTCTGCTCGTCGCTCCGAGAGGTTCAATCAATGCTGGAGGATATCATCGAAGCATTTGCTCTGGTCGGCCTTGAGATTGGCGCGGAGAAGACGCATTGGAGCTCGTGGCCACGGGCGCCGCTACTGACTTTACGCGTGCAGGGGGAACACGTGGCGTGGTCGCCGCAGTTTGTTTTCGTTGGCAATGTCGTCGACTTGTCCGGCGGCTCTGGGGCCGCAATGGAATACCGCATGGCGCAGGCGAACAAGGTGTTCTACCGGTGGAAGAAGATATTGCAATGCCCATCTGTATCGTTACGACGGCGGTCCGCTCTTGCTGCTCAAGTTCTGACGTCTTCCCTGCTATGGCTAGCAAAGATTTGGTATCCCACGAACGCCCAGACGCGGACGCTTGATTATGGGCAACGCGTAAGTTAGCTGCTGTGGCAAATGTCCGTCGGGCACCAGACCAGGATATCGGTTCCTACTGGAGGCGAATGCATCGTCGTGGTCAACGACTTCTGGAACAGTGCGGCGGTGCAGCAAGCCGGATGAGGCGGTTGCGAGTGCACAGATTCGCAGGACACCTCGCACGCATGAGTGGCATCTGCCGCGTCGCTCTCCGGACGCGGTGTCTGGCCTGGTGGAGGTACAGGCAGGCACGGCATCACAGCAAGCATTGCGGGGTCCACCCGGCCAGGTTCAAGGCTTGGCGTTGGGAGTCCCAATTTACAAGTGTTTACGGAGAGGCCGAATGCGAGGACCCATTCCGCAAGGTTGGATGGATGGCGCTCGCTCAAGACAGAGCCGGCAGGCGAAGCTCTGAAGAGGCTTTCGCTGATGCTTGAATGTTCTGGTCCTTGTCCCCCGTTCCCCTTGCTCTGCTGCTGCCCCGTTCCGCCCTCTTCTTGTCCGTTTGCTGTGCTGCCTCCTCTCTCGCTCGCTCTCCTGCCTCCTCCTTTCTGCTCTCTTGTTCGTTTCTGTGTTCCTCTTTCTCTGCTCTCTCTCCGCCGTCTGCTTCCTCTTCCTGCTGTTGCTGTCACACACACATTGCACTGAACGCCTTGGTCATTTTTTTCGAAAGTTGTGCAGAGCAGTGTATAGTCGGTCGAGTGGCGTCCGGAACTGTTCCCCTCAATGGGGTCATCATAGCAGCTGAACAGAACAAAACAGATTAGAGCGAGAGCGAGAGGCAGGATGTCAGTCTCGTTTTGCCCATCCCCATCCTCGCCTGGCCATGGTTTCTTGGCCGAACCATCCCACCACCCCAGTTGGGGGTAGGCCCCTCGAAATCCGCGGGGAACAGCATGATTGTGTCCCCATCCAGGGAATAACATCGGCCAGTGGGGCCCAGGCCGCGCCAATGGGGATGGGGATCGGTGAAAGGCTGCGCAGGAGAGTGGCCCAGAGTCCTGTTGGCGGGGCGGGTCGGGAGGCTGCGGAGAGCCGCGAGGACGCCGCGGAGCAGGCCCGCCCTGTCTGCCTCTGCCTCCGCGTGGTGCGCGAGGGAACGTGTGCAATTCGTTCGCTCGCTGCGTGAAGCGGGAGGAGGGGGGGGGCAGGCGGAGGAGGCGGAGGAGGAGGCGGAGGAGGAGGAGGAGGAGGAGGAGGAGGAGGAGGAGGAGGAGGAGGAGGAGGAGGAGGAGGAGGAGGAGAGGAGCAGCAGGGCAGGAGGAGGAGGAGGAGGAGGGGAGGGGAGGAGGAGGAGGAGGAGGAGGATGAGGAGCAGGAGGAGAGGAGGAGGAGGAGGAGGAGGAGGAGGAGGAGGAGGAGGAGGAAAAGGAGGAAGAGCTTGGAGGAGGAAACGAGGAGGAGGAGGACGAGGAGAAGGAGGAGGAGGAGGAGGAGGGAGGAGGAGGAGGGAGGAGGAGGAGGAGGAGGAGGAGGAGAGGAGGAGGATGATGAGGAGGTGGGAGGAGGGGAGAGAGGAGGGAGGAGGGGAGGAGGAGGAGGAGGAGGAGGAGGAGGAGGAGACGCGTAGGAGACGAGGAGGAGGAGGAGGAGGAGGAGGAGGAGGAGGAGGATGAGGAGGAGGAGGAGGAGGAGGAGGAGGAGGAGGAGGAGACGAGGGGGAGGCGAGGAGGAGGAGGAGGACCAGTGTAAAGCCAAGAGTCATCAACGACGTTGGAATTAACCCTCCCTCCAAGCTCCCTCTTCATAGGCCCCTACAACGGTTCATTTTAACTTAGGGAACTACCTCGTTGGAGGACAACCGTTTGAAGACCCTGAAGCATGCCGAAACATTGGGGAAGCCGTCGTATCCCAAGACGGGGAGGATGGAAAAGGAATCGGAGGAGGAGGAGGAGGACGAGGAGAAGGAGGAGGAGGAGGAGGAAACTGAAAAGGAGGAGGAGTAGGAGGAGGAGGAGGAGGAGGAGGAGGAGGAGGAGGAGGAGGAGACGAGGGGGAGGCGAGGAGGAGGAGGAGGACCAGTGTAAAGCCAAGAGTCATCAACGATGTTGGAGTTAACCCTCCCTCCAAGCTCCCTCTTCATAGGCCCCTACAACGGCTCATTTCCATTGAGGGAACTGCCTCGTTGGAAGACAACCGTTTGAAGATCCTGAAGCATGCCCAAACACTGTTGTCGGGATTTCAACGCCATGTATCAACCTGATTGCTGCGTCTTGACGATCTGAAATCGTGTCAGAGCGCCATTTTGGGGACTTCAACACCGCGAACCAACGCATCTGGTACGCCCTCATAACCCTGAATCTTTCCAAAACACCATTTCTGGTACGTTGATCATGGGAATCCGCGAAACTCTTGCAAACTTTCAAAGAATGTGCGCGGCGCTAAGGCGAGAGCCACATTTTAAACAGGAACCGCCCTCAATCCGTGAAACTCTTGCAACTTTTGAGAACGAATTTGCGCGGGCCTAAGGCGAGAGCCACATTTTGAAAACGACCTGCCTTCAATCCGTGAAATTCTTGCAAATCTTTGGAACGAATGTGCGCGGCGCTAAGGCGAGAGCCACATTTTGAAAACGACCCGCCCTCAATCCGTAAAACTCTTGGCACAGTTTGAAAACGAATGTGCGCGGCGCTAGGGCGAGAGCCACATTTTGAAAACGACCCGCCCTCAATCCGTGAAACTTTTGACAATTTTGGAAATGAAAGTACGCGGCGCTAGGGCGAGAGTCACATTTTGAAAACGATCCGCCCTCCATCTGTGAAACTGATGTCACTGTTCAAGCTTCAGAGTCATACATGGTGAGGAAGTCTCACGCGAAAACGCCCGGCCCGCTCTAAAGTCTTGCTTAGGGGTGCGACAGGGAGAAATTATTTTTTCAGGAGAAGGAATGGAGGAGGATGAGGAGGAGGAGGAGGAGTGAGGGATGGGTGGAGGGAGGGATGGAGGGATGGATGGAGGGAGGGAGGGAGGTAAGGAGGGTGGAGGAGGAGGAGGAGATGAGGAGGATAATGTCGAGCAGCTGGGATGGTGGAGCTCTGGCGCAAGTACGTGATCAGTTTGAGAGGAACTGGTATCCCACTGCGCAGCCACAAAGGCCGAGGGCCTCTGCACGGCGTGCATGTTGCAGGTGGGCTGTCTTTGGGCTTCGCGAGGATGTCGTCTGGATGGGGCATGTCTGGAGGGTACATGCCTGCTCTCCTGAGTGCAGGCAGCGGGGGAATGGGCAGTGAAAGATGGCCGCGAGGGGTGACAGCAGGTCCGCCCTCCATGTGGGATGTAGCACGGCGAGGAGAGACCGTCAAAAGACAGGGGGTTCAGACGAAACCTGCGCGACGCAGCGATAGGGTTGCTCCGTGATTTTCCCGCCTCCAGTCTCGTTGGCCTGCAGGGGAGGATGCCGCTTCTTCGCGCGGCCCCCCCTCGGCGCCCGGCGACCCCCCCCCTGGGAGTCTCCCGTCGACCTTGCGGCACTCTCCGGCTTCTCCGCCGCCGCACCCGCTCTCCCCCTGGGAGGGGGGAGGAGGGAGGAGGGAAGGGGGGAAGGAGGAGAGGGGAGGAGGGGAAGGCTCCCTCTCCCTGCAGCGGCCTGTCCCTCTCCTCCCACACCGCCCGCCCCTCCCGCCCCTCCACTCCACAGCTCCCACCACTCCGCCCGTCCTCTCCTCCCCCCCTTCTCTCCTCTCCCGTCTTCCCCTGTCCTGTCACCAGGCTTCCTTCCCTCCTTCCGAGTCCCTCGCCCCCCCTCCCTCCTTCCTCCTGCATCCCCCCCCTGCATTTCATGCCCTCGTATTTCCACCGCAGTCACTCGGCGTGAAGACCACTCTCCTCTCTCCCCCGACTGCGTGCGAGCGGGACGCTTGCTTGTTTTGTTTTTATTCAAGAGGCTTACGCCATTCCGACGACCCCTAGAAGAGCCGTGGGGTCCATAGTTGAGGCGTCGTGGGCTTCTTGGGCACCATGTGGGGATTCTAGTGGGCGTCTTGGGAGCTGTTTGGGGGCCTGGCGGAGCTTCTTGGAGGCAGTTTTGAAGCGTGTTTTGGGCCGCCCTGGGGCCTCCATTGGGCCTCTCGGGGGCCTCTTGGGGCTTATTTGGGGCCTCTTTTGGGCCACTTGGGGGCTTTTTTTTTTTTTTGGTTTGAACCCTTTTCAGAATGCTGCCTCTGCTGCCGTGTTGGCCCCATTTCAGGATCGGCGCTCTGCTCCCTCCTCTTCCTTCCTTGTCCTCCTCTTTTGCTCATCCGCCACGTCCTCCTCCACCTCCTCCAAAGTACACAGTTCCATTTCTGCTCGCGCATAAGACGAGGGGTCCTCTGAGGGTTCCAGGTCCGCTGTGACACCTGTCGGCGGAGAGAGAACAAGTGAGCGCAACGGGAAGGGACGGGTGGGAGGAGTAGGATGTCAGAGATGGCGCGGGCACACCAAGCTTGCCTGTCCCCTCTCGCCCCTCCCTTTGCCCCTCCCTCTGCTGCCTCTCCTCCGCACTTCCCCTCTCCGTCCACCTCCCCCTATCCCCACCTAACAACGAGAGGGCGGCGAAGGAACGCGCAGGAGGGAGGGATGGAGGGAGGAGGGAGGAAGAGGACGGGGATGCCCTCCCAGAGCCCTGCATTGGCTTGAAGGACCACCCGAACCCCGTGGGATCAGCTGACCCCCCCGCTTATCCTGACTCCTCCTCCTCCTTCTCCAACCTCGTCCTGCTATTTCTCCTCGCCTCTTCCCTCTTCTCGTCTGCACTCTGCTCGCTTTCCCCCCCTCGTCGTCGTCGGGCCCCCTTCCTTCCCCCCCATCCCCCGCTCCCCCCTCCCTCACCCCCTTCCTCCCTCCCTCCCCTCCTCCTCAACGACGTCGTCGTCGTCTTCGTCGTCGCCCTTGTCGTCGTCGTCGTCGTCGTCGTCGTCGTCGTCGTCGTTGTCGGCGTTGCCATTCGTGTCCGGCGTCGTCGTCGACTCGTCGCCGACGTCGTCATTCGTGGCTGGCGTTGTCGTCATTCGTCTCCGTCGTCGTCGTCGTCATTCGTGGCCGGCGTCGTCGTCGTCGTCGTCGTCGTCGTCGTCGTCGTCGTCGTTGTCGTCATTCGTCTCCGACGTCGTCGTCGTCATTCGTGGCCGGCGTCGTCGTCGTCGTCGTCGTCGTCGTCGTCGTCGTCGTCGTCGTCTGCTCGTCGCGACGTCGTCGTCGTCGTCGTCATTTGTCGTCGTCGTCGTCGTCGTCATTTGTCGTCGTTTTGTCGTCCTCGTCGTCGTCTCGTCGCTACGTCGTCGCCGTCACTCGTGGCCGTGGTGGTCGTCGCCGGGGTCGTCGGCGCCGACAGGGCTGCGACCGGGCCCAGCCCGAGTTGGAGAGGCCGCCCCTGAAGCCGCAGGCGGGGAGCCTCCGCGGGCTCGCCGCCGGCGCTCGCCGCCGGCGCTCGCCGCCGTCGCCACCGCGGTCGCCTTGGTCGTCGCCGGCATCGTTGGTCGTCGTCGTCGTCGTCGTCGTCGTCGTCGTCTTCTTTGTCCGCCGTCATTATCATCATCGTCGTCGTCCTCGTCGTCTTCGCGTCGTCGTCTGCGCGTCATCGTCTTCGCGTCATCGTCGTCGTTGTTTTCGTCGTCGTTGTCGTCGTCGTCGTCGTCGTCGTCGTCCTCGGCGTCGGCGTCGGCGTTGGTGTCGGCTTTGTCGATGCGGTCGGCGCCGCCGCCGTCATCACCGTCGTCGTCGTCGGTTGGGGGGGGGAGCCACTTCCAGCTGGCCGCGCACGGCCTCAGTCTGAACCTGGGACCAGAAGCAGAGGACGGAGCCATCCTGGGCCGCCTCGGTGCCATTCTGGGCCACCTTGGCCATGATGTCTCCTAGCGCCAAGCGCCCCCCACGCGGACGCAGCCGCCCATCAGGGGACGATCGACCAGCGCGCCATGGTTTCAGAGCGAGAGTTCGCGCCGATCACTCGCTTCAGTGGCCGATGGGGTACCATCGGCACGCGCGCCAGGGTTGTCGGGAAAGGTGCCAAACACTCGGCCCCGACGGCAGCGAGCGCGCCCAGCGCCGTTTTTTTTGTACTGTTTTTTTGTTTTTGTTTTGTTTTGTTTTGTGTGTGTGGTCTTTGTTATGATATGTGTATACATATATATATATATATATATACATCTATATATATATATATATATAACAGCGGACGCAGCCCTTGCCGCCATCTCCTGGTGCGGGAACACCTCGCGGTCGTAAGCCAGTCCTCCGATCCCATCGGCGGGCGGCACGAGGCAGTCGCAGGCGATCCAAGGCTGCGCCACGGTGCCCCTCTTCCCACCGGGCTGTCCGCCCAGCTCTCTTCTATACCGCCCCCGTGCCACGCCGAGCCGCGGACCCCGATGGTTGCCGCTCCCGAGGTTGGCAGGCAAGTCCCAGACGCTGACCCCAAGCTCCAGGACGAGAGTTTTCCTTCGTTAGGGGGCCACATGCGAACCCTACCCCTACCCCCCACGATTTCTGAGGGGGAGGGTGGGGTTCACTTCGTTCGGGAGGTCACGAGCGAAGTGAACCCCACCCTCCCCCAAGAAAAATCGTGGGGGGTAGGGGTAGGGTTCGCATGTGGCCCCCTATTCGTCATGCCAGCCCCCTCATCCAGCGACTGCAGCGCGTCGACTCCGCCAGCCGGCCCGCCGCGGCCGTCTCTCTCCCTCGAGGCCACCCCCCATCCCGCGGTCGCTGCCGAGCTCGAGAGGCCTGGAGCGGCCACGCCACTTCCGCCAGGCACGTGCGCGTCGGCCTGCACCTCTGGCCACGCCGCGCCGCCGCGACGCGGCCGCGGCCGAGCTGGACGGCGAGGACGCGCCACCCGGGCCGCCTGCGCGGCCTCCGCCCGCCTGGAGCCGCGCTCGGCCCGGCGACGTCCCCTCCTCGGCGCCCGCGACCCTGGCGGCCGCTGCCCGCGCACGCCAGAGGGGAAGTCCGAGCGCCCCCGGGTCGAGAGGAGGGAAGGCTGCCGGGGCTCCACGCCTGGCCCTCCTGCGCATCCCTGGGCCGTGGCCGGCTCCTCGGCGCGCCCAGGGAGGAGAAGGCAGAGGGGGGGGGGGGCGGGCCTTCCGCCGAGAGGGCTCGGGAGCCCCCCGGCCTTCCGAGACGCCGTCCGGGCCTCCTCCGAGGACGCAGAGGGTTTCTCCGAAGGCCCGAGGGCTTCCGAGAAGCCCCGCCGCCTTCTGAGGAGGCCTGCCCCCCCTCTCACTGCCCCCCTGGGCTCGCCGCCGACTTGTCAATGCTCCCCCAAGGGCCCACCACCACTGGGATCCTGGAATGCCTGCATGCTCTCTTGGGATTCTCCGCGTGGCCCTGGAAGCCCTCCTGGGGCCCCAGGCTTCCAGCATGCCGCAAGCAAATCCCAGGGCTCCTGGAGCCTTCTCGGGCGTTTTTTTGTTGGGCCGTCGTGGAAGCCCGGGGTTTTTGGAAGATTGTGAGAGATTTGACAATTCGTTGTGGAAGCCAATATTTTTATCACGTGTGGTGGATTATGCCGCGTCTGCCTATCAAATGACTCGTAGAGCTTCCCTAGGAACGAAGTGCCCAAGTTCGGGCGCGCTGGCGGGCTAGTTGGCTCGAAAAATCTGGACGGAAGTTTTGTCTTTTTAGGGTCGGCCCCAGCGGTAAGAATAATTGGGAAGACCACTGGTGGGGCCAGAGGCACAATGTCCCTCCACCGTCGAAGCATGGCCACGGGAGCACGGGCCAAGCACACGAGCCGCCCGAAGGCCAGAGGCCCCATGCGGATACCCCGAATGAGGAGCACTCCAAGGTGGAAAGCCCAGATAATAATAGTATTCATAGCAAGAGTGACGCTGATAGTATGAATAGTAATATTCAAATTTGTACTACTCATACTGCTACTACTACTACTACTACTACTACTGCTGCTACTGCTACTACTACTACTACTACTGCTGCTACTACTACTACTGCTGCTGCTGCTACTGCTACTACTACTACTACTACTGCTGCTGCTGCTACTGCTACTACTACTACTACTACTACTACTACTACTACTACTACTGCTGCTGCTGCTACTGCTACTACTACTACTACTACTACTACTACTACTACTAAGAACAATGATGATGATGATGATGATGATGATGATGGATTATGATGATGATGATGATGATGATGATGATGATGCTGATGATGATGATGATGATAATAATAATACCACTGATATCAATAATAATATTATTAAGAATAATCACAACGATAAGGCGAACAAGTAAATATCCAACCAGCAGTAAGACAAGCACTAACATTAGTATACATAATTCGGGCGACTCATACGTGTAATAATGACAACACTGCGGATGATTTTACTCATGCTACTAAGAAGCAGGGTGCTAATACGAAGCATACCCCTACAACCAGTACTAATAATATTATTCATAGCAAGAGTGACGCTGATAGTATGAATAGTAATATTCAAATTTGTACTACTAATACTGCTACTACTACTACTACTACTGCTGCTGCTACTGCTACTACTACTACTACTACTACTACTACTGCTGCTGCTGCTGCTGCTGCTACTGCTACTACTACTACTACTACTACTACTACTACTGCTGCTACTGCTACTACTACTACTACTACTGCTGCTACTGCTACTACTACTGCTACTACTACTACTACTACTATTACTACTGCTGCTGCTGCTACTGCTACTGCTACTACTACTACTATACACTACTACTACTGCTGTACTGCTACTACTACTACTAATACTACTGCGGCTACTGCTAATACTACTTGCTACTTACCTACACTACTACTACTTGATGCTGCTGCTGCTGCTACTACTACTATACTACGACTATACTACTACTATACTATACTATACTATACTACTACTACTACTACTACTACTACTACTACTACTACTACTACTACTACTACTACTACTACTACTACTACGACTGCTACTAATACTACTACTACTACTACTACTACTACTACTACTACTACTACTACTACTACTACTACTACTACTACTACTACTACTACTTCTACTGCTACTACCCCTACCACTACCACTACCACTACTTACTTACTAAGTCTGAACCCCTAGATGATGATGATGATGATGATGATGATGATGATGATGATGATGGATTATGATGATGATGATGCTGATGATGATGATGATAATAATAATACCACTGATATCAATAATAATATTATTAAGAATAATCACAACGATAAGGCGAACAAGTAAATATCCAACCAGCAGTAAGACAAGCACTAACATTAGTATACATAATTCGGGCGACTCATACGTGTAATAATGACAACACTGCGGATGATCTTACTCATGCTACTAAGAAGCAGGGTGCTAATACGAAGCGTACCCCTACAACCAGTACTAATAATATTATTCATAGCAAGAGTGACGCTGATAGTATGAATAGTAATATTCAAATTTGTACTACTAATACTGCTACTACTACTACTACTACTACTACTACTACTGCTGCTGCTGCTACTGCTACTACTACTACTACTACTACTACTACTGCTGCTGCTGCTACTGCTACTACTACTACTACTACTACTACTACTACTACTACTACTACTGCTGCTACTGCTACTACTACTACTACTACTACTACTGCTGCTACTGCTACTACTACTACTACTACTACTACTACTACTACTACTACTAGTACTACTACTACTACTACTACTACTACTACTACTAAGAACAATGATGATGATGATGATGATGATGATGATGATGATGATGATGGATTATGATGATGATGATGATGATGATGATGATGATGATGCTGATGATGATGATGATGATAATAATAATACTACTGATATCAATAATAATATTATTAAGAATAATCACAACGATAAGGCGAACAAGTAAATATCCAACTAGCAGTAAGACAAGCACTAACATTAGTATACATAATTCGGGCGACTCATACGTGTAATAATGACAACACTGCGGATGATTTTACTCATGCTACTAAGAAGCAGGGTGCTAATACGAAGCATACCCCTACAACCAGTACTAATCCATATAACCAGAATGCCATCACGGATCATAGACCTATGAGTAACAGGAGTGATGCGGATGAGCTCAGAGTAGCTGCCCCTCCAGAGCTGGGGTTGCTCTCGACCCTGGCTCTGGCGGCCTCCTCGGAAGGCTCGGAAGTCCCCCGGCTTTTTGCGGAGTGTTCTGAGCCTCTCCCGAAGACGCACAAGAAGCTCCTCGGGAGGCTGGAGCGCTCCTGAGAAGCCCCGCCGCCTTCTGTCGAGGCCTTCTCCTCCTCGCTCCCCCCCCTCGCTCCCCCCCCTCGCTCGCCGCCGATGTTGGCGTCCTGCCCCGTCCCCCGGGCA